TGACGGCCTAAGAAGAAAACAATAACATACAGAATATTCTGCAAAAAGACGAATACAAATTTATGTGAGCAAAAACCAAATATACAAACAGACAGCGCAAAGGTAAAACAGCCTACTTACATAAGAAACACATGTAAGTAGGCTGTTTTACTTTTGCGCTGTCTGTTTGTATATTTGGTTTTTGCTCACATAAATTTGTATTCGTCTTTTTGCAGAATATTCTGTATGTTATTGTTTTCTTCTTAGGCCGTCATTTAATAAGAAAAGAAAAATACTTAAAGCTAGAAATGGTAATTATCCTCGTTTAAAGCCAATACGACTTTTACTACCCGTATTAGAAGAATACACGCTTCGTGTACACCCGGCACATCTTCGCTGCTTAGGCGAATGTCAGCAGTAGAATTCACTGCGACATGTTCAAAAAACATCAAGTAGCCATATGTAAATGTTTCATTCTCTTTTGTGCGAACTTTCTTTGACTGTGTATGGCTGTGAGCAAACACATGCATTAGATGCACGACAGTTCACAGTGAACTCAACGGCTGATATTCCGTAAACAGCGATGATGTGCCGAGTGTATACGAAGCGTGAATTCTTCTAATACGGGTAGTAAAAGTTGTATTGGCTTTAAACGAGTCATAGTTGAAAAAAGTGAAGATGAAAATAGGTTTTAATGATTGGTTATTGAAGGAGGAAAAATATATTAGTCTTAATCTAAATTTGTAATTTTTTCTTAGTAGAGTTGTATTAGGGGGTTCAATTTGCAATTAAAATATTTAAACTATTGTATATTGGTATTATCTAAAGCCGCTCCATAGTTCCGATGGAAGAGCCTGGTTTATCTGATTGCTACAGAATAAAAACAGCGTATGAAAAGGTGGCATTTCAAAGCGAAACACCGTCATACAAAATACAGCAAAAACTGTATGTAAAAACAACCTTTGGTGTGCGACCGTATCATACGCTGTATTTATTCTAGAGAATTCATCTGATTTTTAGTAAACATTCTGGTGAGTAGATTTGAATATTGTGTTTAGCACTGGTTAAGTGCGTCGACATCGTTTGTGTGATGCACGAGCACACAAACGCACACTATAGACGTTCGCGCAGAAAGATCATTTTAGTTTTGAAGTGAAATGCTCTTATTTCATAGCAACGCATTGATTGATTTTTAATGAAGAAAAATTTGTGTTTTTATAATTGATACATTCAAAAATACCACATGAACTCAACTTAAAATTATTTTGAAGCTGATTTGAAATTCTCTGGGCAAAAAAATCAAATTCTGTAGCAACACGATCCAAAGGTATGAATAATTAAAAATATGAAATTTGTAATAATTGTGTTAATATTCAAAGTGAAATATGAACAGCAAATCACGTTAGAAAATTAGAACAATGCAACAAATACGATTCCATTAAAGCGAAAGGGAGACAGACTAATACAACAGGTCGGTGTATTCACTTACTCGCAAACGTTGGGCATACATCAACAAATTACGGAAAAATAAAATTAATTATCATCAAATTGGATTTCGAAAATGCCGGACAAGTATTGAAATATGTTATATAAATAACCGTTGCCAGCGGTTGGTTGTTCGAGACGTACAGCAAATATGACTGGTAAATTTACACATTTTTTATTCACACCGCATATTATGCACATTCACCATCATCATCATAATATTTTTTATAGGTACAAGTAAGTTTACGATATGTTGAATTTGCAGCGTGTAATCCATACCCACAATGCAATGAAATTGGTCATCGTTTGTAGTGGTGCTAAAAACCATACGAGATTTTATACGCAAGGATTTGTACTGCTAACGAATCTTTTGTATACAAAAGAGAGTGTTCAAAAAATCCCAACTCGCACAGGTCGGTCGTCTGATGCTCAAAATAATGCATTTTTTAAACTAGGACAAAATCAATAATTCATTTCAACAATTTGAATTTTCATTCACCACCGATGGATGTTCATTGTTCATTTGTTCAGCCCATTTGAAAATGATTCGGGCATCACAAAATACCAATAACAACAACAATAATGATGGTGATGACCATAATACAGTTCTAAATCCAGAACAACCTGATTCAGTGCCGCCAATCATTTAACGTGCTTATGACTCAGGTCAGATACAAATAATTGCTGGTTGTGATCGGTTCAGACCAGTTTTTTTAACAGCTATTATAAACTATTTACGGGTGCATTTGAGAAAAAATGTCGTGAGCAGCACGAAAATCGCTAAATTTATGGGGAAACGCAATCGAAGAAAAGCGCTGACTACCGTACTTATCTTGAATACCAGCTAGATGTATTCAACGAACCATGTGAGGTATTTATTTTTTCTCTCTCTTTCTCTCGATTTGATTTGATTTGAGTTCATCTTATTGATGTGTGTGTGTCATTTCTTCTTTGTTATTACAGATAAAGTACCAAAAACGTGTAGTTCGTTTAAAGTTTGATGCATATAAACGTATGCAGACAGCATTGCATGTGTTGGTGACAAAAGTCCACCGTAAAATTTCAGATGCTAAGAAAACAGTGCTATTGGCATTTGATTGTGCAAAATTTGCATCAAATTCACCCATCAAAGGACATTTACGGTGTCCTCATCGAGCATTGCAACAAATGGCACGTGAATAGGTTTTCGTTTTGCCTATCAACGAACATAATAAATCCCAGGTATTCAGTCGATCAAAACGTAAGCTAAAGAGCCTACCAGAACGTCAAGTCAAAAACCAGTTTTTTTCTTCTATCGAACAAAAACAAATCATTTTTCTAGTTTGTTCCAACTTCAAACCGGTCGAAGATACTGTTTTTCAAGATCCAAATCAATGGACTGGCAGAGTTCACCGTACCTACCAAAATAAACATCCAACATATAACAAATTAGTATATAATTTCCATTGACCGGTTCCAGAAGCAAATCCAAATCCACAACCAAAATGAAAGAAAAAGAAATGCTGCACGGGATATGATTGAAAAAGGATTGTACTTGTTGATTTATCTGCCGATGCCAAATTCATTCAGCTCAATTATTATAATTAAAATCAACAATATAATTAAAATGAACAATTGAATCTCATTGTTCAAGACGTGGTACCGGACGAGCGTACAAATACTAGAAATAGTAAGCATATTAATTTTTTCTCTTCCACCGTGATCAACGATCTCAACACTACTGCTACTACCAAATATCAAATATCAAATTAAAGGAATGTTGTTGTGGTCATTGATTATGCGCCAAAACTATATACTTTCTTTTTTTAATTTCATTTTCCATTCAGTTCCATAACTTATTAATTAATTTTCATTTTTCCCATTCTTTTCTTCTGATCAACCCTAGGTATAGCCTAACGAACTTACATACTTACATATGACTGTGAACCAAATAAAAAATACTTTTTTCTTCTTGTAAACGCATATTATTATTTTTAAATATCATATAATATCATATCTTATATTAATATGATGACCACTGACCTGTATGAATCCGTTTGTGAGTATTTAGGGATGATTTTTGACTAAATCTTTTCATACAGAGATCACACTGGAAAGGCCTTTCTCCAGTGTGTGTTCGCATATGAACTTCAAGATACGGTTTTCGACAGAATGCAGCATCGCAAACCTTCAATAGAAACAAAGAAGAACGAAATTTTGAAATACAGTGTAGGTGAATTGGTGGATTTTTTTTGGTTTTGTTTTTTTATTGAACTACTCGTATTACGAAACAATTATGGAGCGTATAAAAAATAGCGGTTTTGAAAAACGGTTTGGTTTGTACATACTCACCGTGCATGAAAATGGCTTTGTTCCCGAATGCAATTTCATATGCACATAATAACTGCTGGCTGACGAGAGCATTTTCCCGCACACTTTGCAAGCTTGGGGTTTGCTCCTTGTATGGCTTGAATTTGTTTGTGGCGTTACTGACATTTGACCAGTGTTTAATTCTTGCTTTGTTGCATCCTCTGCCGATGTCATTGGAGTGTCTGGCGGTTGCGACTAGCAATAACCAATGGATGTAAAAATAGTTTAATTATTTGAACTTACGCAAAATATAATTCAATTCAGTTCAACCAATAATTACCTCTTCGTTTGTTTGTTCATTCTCGCCTGGAAGTCGATTCCTCCAATCCAATGTGGGATTTTGCTGAAAATAATACACGGTTGCGGTCATTATTTTCGGTATATTTTAGTAAATTGACACATAAAATGGCATTAGATTATTTTTTATTCATTGATTAGAATACAACAGAAATCAGAATCGAAAAATAAGCTAATGCCAATCATTCGCAATCATCTGTGATTTATTCATTCTGCAATAATTATAGACAAATATGATGCATATGGAATCATCCATATTAAAGTGAAAAACTACTGGAAATTTTATGACCGTACGACGACATCACTGACTTCAGTTGCAAAATTCTCCCAAAAAAAATTACGAATTCCAATGGAATGGATCCACTTTTTTCATTCACTTTCAATAATATTTCCTTTGACAACTAAATAATGTGAAAATTCGGAACGACTAGACGATTTTTACAATGAGCTGAATCATGTAATCTATCGCAGAGGCAGCGACAAGATCATTTTTATAGGTGACTTGAACGCTAGAGTAAGTCGAAATGATCCAAATTTTGCTAATGTTTTGGGAAATTTTAGTGAAGCGTCGCCTTCCAATAATAATGGAAAGAAAACGGGTTTGATTATTTCTAATAATTTAATGAATCGTTTAAAAGATGAGAATTTGGGCCGTGAGTTTATTGATATTTTGGAAAGAGATTTTTTGGATTTGAATGAAAATGTAGTGGGGGTTGCCAGAGAATCTTTGAAGTTCGTTAGAGTTGAGAATGACGACATCAAGGCTGCAAGTATTTTGGACCTTCGTCTATAACATACATCCAAAAAAGACTAGAAATAATTAATTTGGTGTCTTTTTATGAAGTTAAAAAGTCTTAGTCTTTAATCAGATAGTTCTCAACAAACTCTATCGATTTCAACAATATTTGGTTGATAATGAAGCAAGTAATGGAGATTTAACCTTACGTTTCAGCAATAAATTTTCGAATAATGGCTCTAAAACACCTTCCAAAGAAGATCCTACCATACAAACACCCCTTTATTAAAGTTCGGGTTGTCGACGCCTCTAGCCTTATATAGTAGTGCCCTAACGTTATCAATGCAAAAGAAACCACTTGCACTTGATTCATGGTTCGATATAGTGATGAATGTTTCACTATACAAAATGATGAATTTTTCTGCGCAACATGCTATGAGATGAAGTAAACATCCAATTTTTGACACCCTTTGCAATTTTCTCGTAACTTATTTTGCTGATTACTAATGATCGTGTCTAAATCTATTGTTTTGGTACAAATTTGGATGTGCTGTAACCATAAAAATCACCAAAAATGAATTTTTGCTTGACCAACCCGGTTTTCGGTATTTAATGACAATTTTGAAGGGTTTGAGCATTTAAATTGGGAATACGACCATACTTTTTGCATTCTCTAGAATAAAATATAAATTGTAAGGCGAGTAACACACAACTCGCACTTATATTTTGCTGCACAGTAAAAATCTTCGACACAAAACTCAAAGCAATGACCAAATACATTGTTAATAATTTTATTGCGCAGCAAAATATAAGTGCGAGTTGTGTGTGAATAGAATGTCCGTTGTAAACGTGCAATGCAGTGCGAGCGAGATAGCATTGGACAACGATTTGGGTGATAGAGATAGCAAATTTCTACGTTCTGATCACACCAAATAAAATGGACCATTTAGTTGTGTATAAGAATTGAGAAAAAAATCTGTTGTTTTTTACTTTTTGAGTGCTCTATACCGCGTCTCCGAGAGTTTCATATAAACTCGCCTTGCAATAGCCAAATGACGCCTATTGATTCAATCACGATTGGTATTCGCTTACTATTCAATAGGTATCACATAGCAAGTTTATATGAAACTCTCGGAGACTCGGTATAGAGCACTCAAACAGTGATTTAGATGATCGTGATTTAGATGATATGGATGCGATTTTTTTCATTCTGATTTCACCAGGTGATACAGAAAATTGAGTTGTATATTTGTAAATCGAAGAAAAAAAATTTAATTATTTTTTTCATTTTTCGCGATTTTTCACCATCTACATGGAGGCTTGTATGAAAACCACGGACGATTGCTGAAATGACACTGTCGATGTTTTTACGCTCAAGTTCTTCCATTTCGATTTTACTATAGGCTGTCAAATAGCTTAACTAATTGATACCAAATAGCTTAACTAATTGATACCAAATAGCTCAACTATTTGGTACCAAATAGCTTTGCTAAATGATATCATTTGATTGAAGAGCTATTTGGTACCATGCTCTGATGAGCCTAATATTAACTGAGGAACTATATATTGAATAATCCATAACGATTATTGCAGATAGTCAGATGTATAGAGTCTCTAGAACATGAAATAGACTGTAAGTCACTTTTTCACGATATTGCATTTGCTCATTTTCAGTCATTTGTCAACAAAAAAACTAAAATGTCCATCGCATAATTCTCCATTTTCGTTTCATATATCTCGTATGGTTATCTTCTTCCCAACCAGTGCATTTGCTGATGAGAACGAATCAATACAACAATTCTGTGTTCAATTTCCAACCGTTGACCGATGACGCAAACATAATAACACATTCGACGCAATAACTTAGCTGTCAGTGATCCGATACTTATGAAACTTGTACATGATATCAGTCGGGCAAGTACCTTTCTAACGCATATAATATCCAGAAGGTGGTGCCACTAGTATCTATTATTTTCAAAAAGTTCCGGAACTTTTGAAATGCTAGCGGTGCTTTTTGTTGAACGGTGTGCGGTTTCTATTTCCATAAACTCTGATTTCATTTTACCATCGTGCAAAATTTTTCATATTCAACTCACAGTTCCAGCAATTATTGTATATATACATTTTTTCACGTTCAATGCGTGCCATATACCATATAACTGACAACAAAATTGCAACAAGATAAAGCACCATAAAGGCCATAATAACAGATAATTAAATAAAATATCCCATGCAGAGGCCGAAAGGAAAAACTGACTGTGTATGTTTTTTTTATATACTATTGTGATCAAAAAGTACACATAATTGATTAAAAAAATTAAAAATCTTTATTTATTCTTCTAAATTCATTTCGTCGCCTTCGAAGTAATCCCCCTTGGCCGCAATGCACATACGTCAACGTTTTTTCCAGTCTTCGAAACAATGTGAAAACCTACTTTTAGGTATGGCCTTCAATTCACGTAGCGATTCACGTTCAATCTCTTCAATCGACTCGAAACGATGTCCACGGTGTCTTATTTTTGAGTGTAGAGAAGAGCCAGAAGTCACACGGTGCCAAATCAGGCGAATATGGAGGTTGCGGAACGATATGAGTTGAATTTTTGGCGAAATGATCACGAATAATTAATGCAATGTGAGCGGGTGCATTATCGTGATGCAAAAATCAAGAATTGTCTTGCCATAATTCTGGTCGCTTTTTGCGACTTGCTTCACGCAAACGACGCATAAGACTCAGATAATATTCTTTGTTGACAGTTTGGCCCCTTGGAAGAAATTCTTAACATAACCTTGATTTTTGACCGACTTTGACGAGATTTTTTTGGTTTGGCTTCACCTTTCAAACTATATTCGGCGCACTGTTCGGCTGTTTCTGGGCCGTATGCATAGATCCAAGTCTCATCTCCCGTAATGATCCGTTTTATGCACGATTGATAGTCAGAAAGCATTTCTTGACACACATTAACACGACGCTCTTTTTCGATGAAATTCAATGTTTTTGGCACTAATCGAGATGCACAACGTCTGAGACCCAAATGATCTTTTAAAATGGTTTGGATCGACCCAAATGAAATGCTAGCAATATCAACAAGGTCTCTAATTGCCAATCGACGGTTTTTTAGCGCAAGATCTTTTATTTCCTTGACGTGTTGTTGATTAGTTGACGTTGTTGGTCGTCCGGATCGCATTTCATCTTCTACACGTTATCTGCCCTCTTTGAACTTCTTATGCCACTCATAAATAGTTGGTCTAGCCATGGATTGATCACTGAAGGCCTTTTCTAACATTTCACACGTTTTTATGGCCGAAATTTTGTTCCGCACACAAAATTTAATGCAAATTCTTTGCTCAACAAAATCTGTCATTATGAAAATCGCCAAAAGAAATTTTGTGTATGCACATCAACAAGTGTAACTCAACATGTGATGCATATATTGACATGATATTTTGTACAGTTATAAATGACAGTGCTACCAACCCACAAAAAAAATATTTACACGATTTCTTCATCCCGCGCATTTGAAATCATCAATTATGTGTACTTTTTGATCACAATAGTACTACTGTGATCAAATATAAGTAGGACTTAGGCATTTTGAAGGAAACCGTTGAAGGAATTTCATCATTCCTTTTATGGCTAAATAGGTCCATCCCTCATGCACATCTATGCCAAGTTTGAACGCGACACAATAACTACAAGTATCCATTTGTGGACTTGTTCAATTGAATCGTTGCGGAGAAAAAGTAGCTCTTATTTTTCTCCAAATAATACTGCAACATGAAGTTTTTTTCACGTGGTTTATTTGTTGTAATACAACAAATAAACTATTCATAAAAAAACATCATCAGAATCATGGCTCGTATGTACGTGCGTCGTACAACAAAATCAACGTAATACCTGGTCTGCATTTGGACACAGAAGGCGATTGCTTCCGATCAATTTTCAACAAAAAAATCATCGATACTATGTTCAAAACACCAATATCGAGGGACGTAAGAAGAAAAGCGACTTTCGAGATGTTGACGATATTGAAATGTTCGCTTTCATTGGCTTGTTGTTTGCCGCAGGTGTTGATCGATCCAGCAAGAGAAATTTCGAGGAGTTCTATGGGGTCTTGCGTGGAATGGCATTGTTCAAAGCCACTATGCCTTTGAAGAGATTCAAAGAGTTATTGCGATTCATTCGATTCGATGATAAAGACACACGAAGTGCTCGTCGTCGAAACGACAAACTTGCACCAATAAGAGATATTTTCGAATTAGTGAACCGCAATCTATCTCGCATGTATTCACCAGGTGAAAATCTCACCATTGACGAACAGTTGGTTCCGTTTCGAGGACGATGCTCTTTCAAACAATACATGCCAAGTAAACCTGACAATCATGGGTTGAAGTTATTCTGGCTGTGTGACGCCAAAACATGGTATCCACTCAAAGCAATACCTTATTTGGGTCGTGAGCGAGTAGGTGCAGAGAGAAAGACAAAAATTGGACAAGAGATTGTGAAAGAGCTTTGTTCGCCGTACTTCAGAATGCATCGCAATGTTACATTTGACAATTTTTTCACAACATATGAAGTGGCTCAACATTTGCGTCAGAATGGTTTGACTTGTGTAGGAACTGTTCGCAAAAACAAGTCATTTATTCCAGCAGAATTTTTGCCAAACAAACAGCGGGCTGTTGGTGATAACTTATTTGGTTTTCGTCCAACGATGACACTTTTATCGCATGTTCCCAAAAAAAAAACAAATCGGTCATTTTGTTGTCAACTTTGCATCGCACCCCAACCGTTGGAGATGATGGGAAAGCTGAGATCAATACGTTTTACAATGAAACAAAAGGGAGGCGTGGATGTTCTCGATCAACTCTGTCATTCGTACACGGTACAACGACGAACGAATAGATGGCCATTTGCCTACTTCATGAATTTGTTGAACGTTGCTGGCATTGCAGCATTTGTTTTATGGCGAACATCTTGCGGTTCAATTGATGAGCCCGTAAAATATCAAAGAAAACACTTTCTCACACGATTGTCATCGGAATTAACGTATGCGCATATTTCCCGTCGATGCACCAACAATATGTCATCGTCGCATAAGCGGACGATTCGAGAAGTAATTGTAGACGAAACCAGTGAAACAAGTACATCAGATGAACCGTCAAAGAAGCGCCGTCGATGTTATATGTGTCCAGCAAAAATTGACCGAAAGACAAAACAAATGTGCGAAACTTGCAACCAAAATGTATGCAATCAACACGCAGAGGCAAGTGTGAAATGCAAAAATTGTGCAAAACAACTACTGAACCGACACATTAATTCATCCGATTCGGAATAAATTTCGATTTTTTTTCATTTTTTTCACACAAATGTTATAAAAAAACACTTCAGATTCACTTCAAACATTTCAAAAAATCATTCTAATAAGTTGAAACAATAAATTTTAGAACATAAATTCAATAAAATACACAAAAAACAAAAATTTTAAATTGTTTTTGTATGAAAATTGTACGTCGGGCCTCGCCCGGTCAAGGGTTAAGAAGGAGAAACTAATCAGTTAATTCGATCGGTTGAATAAATATAGTAATTTTTCAAAGAACAAAAAGTACTATAAATCAGTTGAGATGATTCCGGATTTTGTTAAAAACTTATCAGATGAACAATTTACAACAGACGAACTAAAATTGCTGAATAAGGGTTTTTCGTTTGCATTACAACCACAAAGTCAAGTAGCCGTTGATGCAGCGTTAATAAATATTGAAACGGCACTAAAACAGTTGGATGATGATGATGTGAAGGTACAAATTCGTTGCGAAGCTGCCGATAAAATCAACAATCTTGAATTATCGAAGCTTACAGGGGAAATGAGTGACAATTGGAAAGCAACAAAGAGTTTAATTGAGAAAAAAGACCGTGTTGTTTATACAAAGGCAGACAAGAGCAATAATATTGTGATTTTGAATAAGTCTGACTATATTGAGATTACCGAAAAGTTCATTAAAGATGGTCAATATACCGAAGTGAAAAAAGATCCTTTACTAGGTATGATACGAAGAACAAAAGATGCGGTAAAACGAGCAGCGGAAGTGATTTCGAATGGAAAATTTTTAACAAGGAAGCTTCATGTTTCAAATCCTGTCTTGCCAAGATTATACACACAATTGAAACTTCACAAACCTGGTCAAAAAGTACGACCAATTACATCAAACATAAATGCACCAACCGAAAAAGTAGCGCAATATTTGTTGGATCGTTTTAATGAAATGCCGAATAAGTTTGAAAGTGCAGCAATTAAGAACTCAATCGAATTTGTCGATAATGTCAAGCATTTGGAGATTAATGAAAATGAGATACAGGTGTCTTTTGACGTTGAATCTTTGTTCCCGAATGTTCCAATGAACATTGTTATGGATATGCTGAGAGATTGGTTAATTACAAATAATTTACCAAAGGATGAAATAGAACAACTTATTAATCTGACACATATTTGTATGAATGAGAATTGGTTTCAGTTCAATGAGAAATATTTTCGACAAGATTTTGGCTGTTGTATGGGTTCACCATTAAGCCCATTTCTGGCAAATTTATTTATGTCTAACTTGGAAACAAAACTAAAAGTTGAAAGCAATTTTCCTCGCATTTGGTATCGTTACGTCGATGACGTTTGGGCAGTAATCAAAAGACAGTCTGTAAGAAGTTTTTTAAACAAACTAAATAACACTGGTTACCCCAGCATCAAATTCACACACGAGGAAGAAAAGGACGGGAAAATTAATTTTCTGGATTTGGAAATTTCCAATTTGACATCTATAGAAAAGCAACTAATACCAGGCGTTACATAACATCAGACTCTTTCCATCCATTTAAACATAAGTTAGCGGGCTTTCATTCAATGATACACAGGGCGCTAAACATTCCAATGACAGAAGATCGGCTTAACAATGAAATTCAACGCATTAAAGAAATTGCATACATCAACGGATACACTGAACAATAGGTTAATGACCTTTGGACTTCACATCAGCGCAAAAAACAGCTACGCGAACATACAACTTTAAGTTTGATTGGTGACGATGTTGGGGATATTGATGGTTTTTGGGCAAGATTCAACTACCATCATGAACTTTCAAAATCACTCAAACCTATTTTCAACAAATTCGGCATTAAAGCGGGTGAATGCAGTGATTTGAAATTAAAAAACATCATCGGTGGTTCAAAGGACAAAATAAAAAACGAAAAGAAATCCGGAATATACTCAATCAAATGTGACCATTGTGATAAGGAATACATTGGCCAATCGAGACGAGCAATTGAGGTCAGGTTCAAGGAACATATTTGCCACACCAAGAAAAATGAGCCAGAAAAGTCGGGAGTAGCACATTATTTGTTGGAAAGTGGACATTCTGTTAGTTTAGATGGATTAAAATTGTTAAAAAATGTAATCAGAAGTAATGAGTTAGATGCGCACGAGTCATTTTACATTCATAAAAACATTAACCATTTGATGAATCAAGACGATGGACCAATTAAAGATCCTATTTTTAAGAAAATTATCATTTAAAATCAAACATTGTGATATTTGTTACTTTTTGAGTTTTGCATAAGAATCCATTGAAAATATTGTCAACAATTTAAATCCGATGTCGAATGGAATATCAAGTAACTTTTGTTTTTCAATCATTCAAATATGTTTAGCAAATTCAGTTGTTTCCTATAACTCACTGAGGATGAAAGCATTGCTTTCGAAATGCGCATCTGAGAATTTTACAATTCTTAATAGTGTAATATTTGTTGTTTTTCAATAAAAAGATAATAATTATTCTAAATTACACGTTAAACTCCAAATAAAAACATTTATAACTATACTATATTGTTTTTATTTCTAACTATACCTAGGAGGGTTAATCGAAGTGATTGTTCATTATAACAATACCTTCTATTGTTTTAGTTCATTTAGCTGGCTTACGGACTGTCAGCTCAACTGACCAGTTAGTTCAATATATTGTCTGAAGAATTCTCCTCAATTTTCTACATTGATGAGCTAAAAAAAAAGTCTTCACTTTTAGAATCAAAAACCCTAGCAAATTCGAATAATTTTCGCGAAAAAAAATTTCTCATCCAAATCACAGGGAGGGTAAGCTGAACAAGTTTGGGTGAAGGTAAACGGATTGAAAAGAAACATCTATTTGGTTGAGTTATGTACTCGACAGGATTCAACACTCAAGGTATATGAAAACAACATGTATGCCTTGAAAGAAGTCGCATCGAAGTTGAATACAAATGATGTTTTGATTGTGTCCGGTGACTTTAATCTGCCCAAATTGATTTGGTTTGTTGACGAAAATGAGGACCCAGACATTGCAATTGCTATCAATGCAGTCAGTGAAAAAGAGAAGATAGTGCTGGATACTTGCTATGAACTAGGACTTCACCAGATTAACAAGAATTACAACCAAATTGGTCGAATGCTTGATTTGATCTGGAAAAATGATGTTGAGCTGTTTCAATGCACCATGTGTGACTTTTATTTATTGAATTCTGAGAAGCACCACAACGCAATCGAAATCAAATATAATGAGCCAGTCATCAAAACCATTGAAACTAAACAAACATATCGCGACTTTATAAATGCAGACTATAAACGAATAAATGACCCGCTTCTTGATGTAGATTGGCATGATGTTTTTGATACAAATTCATTAGAGATGAGACTAGATAATTTTTATTCAATTATTAAGTCAACAATCGAAACACATGTATATACATTTGAAGACAAAAATCATAAGAAAACAACCGATGTGGTTTAACAAGTCATTGGTTGAGTTGAAGAACAAAGTCAGCAAAGCGCATCGAAATAGAAAAATGCTCAACACAATCGAATCAACAAATCATTATAAAGAAATAAGAAGAGAATACAAACGCTGTACGCGTTCTGCTATCAAGGCTGTACGCGTTCTGCTATTATAGAATTGAGATGGAGAAGCTGATAGATGATGATCCAAAGAAGTTCTTCAGACATGTGAATAGCAAAAGGGGGAAGTGTGATGATCTTCCTCATGAGATGAATTATTTAGATGAGAAGGCAAACGACAGATCTGCAATTGCTGATTTTTTTGCAAAACACTTTGCAACAGCATACAGCTCTTCAGAAGGTGATCTACGATATGACAACACTGAAATCGAGAAAATTCACGATATCTGTGCTGAGATATCAACGATTGAAATAACCGAGGAGCTAGTTGGTCAACAAATAGGCATGCTATCGGATGATCTAGTCCGTGGTCCTGATGAAATTCCAAACAAATTCATCAAGCATTGTTTGAATTCAATGCAGGGGCCAATCTCAACTTGTTAAAGGAATCACTTGAAACAGCCACTGTCCCGCAGATATAGAGAACGTCATTTGTCAACCCAGTTTACAAAAACGGTGATAGAAACATCGTTTAAAATTACCGTGGTGTTAATTTACAGTGCATTACGTTAAAGATTCTCGATTCGATCGTCACAAACCATCTCAATCTATATTTGAAGAACATCGTCCACGAAAGTCAACATGGATTCATCAAGAAGAGGTCAACGATAACAAATTTAGTGGAATTTACTTCAAAAACTATTATTAACATGGGAAGAGGACTTCAAACAGACGCCATCTATTTGGACATAGCCAAGGCTTTTGACTCGGTTAACTTAAATTTACTTATTCAAAAGCTAGACTTCATGGGACTGAATGAGCAGCTGTTAAAATGGATCAAATCTTACTTGTCTGGTCGCAGACAAATTGTAAAGATAGAAGATACCAAATCTGACCCAATCGAAGTTACCTCTGGGACAGGTCAAGGATATCCCATTGGCGCTACTTTGTTCATCATGTTTGTTATTGATCTACCTTACGTCGTTACCAATTCTTGTATACTTTCATTCGCTGATAATACAAAACTTTCGAAATATATCTCCTCAACAAATGATTGCATTAATCTACAGAATGACTTGGATCGTGTAGCGGATTCATGGCGGAAAATTAAATGTCAACAAAACTAAGATCATATCATATCATCGGGGATCACTGCAATATGAATACAAATACAACATAGGCGGCGTTCAAATTGAAAGCGTCTTTGTAATAAGGGACTTGGGAGTGTTGCTTGATGTGCAAATGAATTTCAAATCACACATTGAGCATGTCACAGCCAAATCAAGACTGGCTTGGTTAAAGTTCTACAGGACAACCCATGGACATTTATCGACCCATGGACAATTAAACGCCTTTATTTTACATTTGTTTTTTAAATAAATAAATAAATAATCTTTATTCACCGCCAAATACTGGCTGAATCATGTTTGAGTTTGTACATATTTATATACATGTATTGGTGGGAAAAAGGTATGAATCAACGATGCATATTACATCTGATCACCGTTAAAAACCACATCTTTTCAATATTTGAGATATAATACAAAAAATAATTTGATCATAAATAAATAAAATTTTCAAATTGCACTGGATACAATGAGTCAAGCATTAAAATAAAATAGATATCACAATGGATCACATTTGATCGTTCAAGAAAACAGTATTATGATTAGACACTAATGACAAGTTGGAAAAGTGATCATCACTTAAAGCTAAAAGACGATTTTTGAATGTTGATCTGTTCAATTGACTTGAGAAAAGTTCGTGGACTTTATTTGACATTTTGCACATTTGATTGAGTGGCACAGATAGATTGATTCTCAACACTTTGTCGTTGATCTTGAAATATTCGACACTTCT